GCCAGCCACTGGTCTTGGGGGATAACATCTTTGCAGACTTGGTTGGGAACTGGTTGGATCTGCCGGAGCTGGATAAGAAGGGGGAAAAGAGCGAGGCGTCCCTGTCCTTGAGCAGATCCCAGGAGCTCTGCAGGAAGTTCTCCCTCACAGCCAACATCTTCAAGAAGTTCCTGAGGAGCGTTCGGCCAGACCGAGACAGGCTGCTCAAGGAGAAACCGTGCTGGCTTCCGCCTGAAGACAAACAGCCCGAAATTTCTAAGAGACCCAAAAAGATGAACAAACTCAAGGGGACATTTTACTTCCCACTTCACGGGAACGCCCAGAACCATCACAGCAAAGCAGAGAGGTGCCCAAAGGCAGAAAGCAAAAGTGAAAAACCCAAAACTGGCACCAAGAAAGTCCACGATACCATAGACTACACCCAGTCCGGGTTTGACATCAACACAGCTGTTTGGGTCTGAGTTTGCCCGTGTCCCCTGCTCTGCCAAGAGTTCCACACCGGAGAGGAGCTGGAGGCCATCCACGTCTTTTCAGGAGACCCCCAAGCTCTCAACGTGGACTGAGATGAGAGATGAGTCCTCTGCAGAACAAGCTGTGGGCATCAGTCAGCTGCAAGGAGGGTTTTCCGGAGCAGTCCAAGCTGCAGCTGGCAGCCCCCCCACGGGGAGGCTTTTGGGAACCCATAGTTGCAAAAATGATCCGAATCTTTAGCAGCTTTAGGGCGAGTGGTGCCCCAGGCAACCAGCCACTTCAGGCCCATCGCCTCGTGTCCGCTTAAAATAGCTGCAGCACAAAGTTCACTGTGTGCATGTGTGTGTGAGTGTGCAAATATATATAGTTTTTTTAAAAAGAAAAAAAAAAGTCTATTCCTGCTTGTGTGCACTTAAACTGGGTTATAAACCAGGCAAGTCAAGCCCTGTACCTGAAGCACTTGTTATTTAAATCGAAAGAAACAAGTCTGAATTTATAAGACTTGAACAATTGCCAAGTGGGGGTGTTGAACCCCGGCTTTGTTGCATTTCAGCTGCGGCGTTTCCCCCCTAAACTGCATCTCCACCACGCTCCCAGCATCTCCCTTTTCCCCTGCCAGTTAAACCAGTAGGACACAAGGCTCCTTTCGTGGAAGTTTGTGACCCTCGAGCTCTCAGGGGGTTTTTGTTTCTCTCCCCACTGGTCACACCAGACACAATGTTGCGAAAGTTTATTGTTGAGGTTGCACCGAGATACAAAGTTGCAAGAGATGTTTCTTGTTGTTGTTTCCGTTTGCTGTTGTGTACAAACCTCCTCTTGCCAGAACCAAGTCCTTCCGTGTCCGGCTCTCCAAGAGTTCCCAATAAAGTGGCGTCAGTCTCCAGCCAGGGCTGACCCTCAGTCCTGCTTTCCTCCAGCGCAGAAGCCTCTGGATTTTCGGGGTCACGGAAGCCCATCCGAGCAAGCAGGGGCGGTGCGGGTGGCGGGGCTGGAGCTGGGATCACAACCGGGAGCGCGCGGGTTGTGTCAGCCTGTTCCCAGTGGGACTGGGGAGCAGCCAGGAGAGCTTCCATCCAAGGAGAGGTTGTAACTCAGAGCAGGGAGAAGAGCTGCAGCCAGAGGTCTGTGCCAGGGTCCCAGTGCTGCTCTGGAGGCGCATCCCGTGCTCATTCCCAAGAGCCCTCGGGTAAAACTTCAGCATCCATCCTCCTCACCCAGCTTGGGGAAAGGCAGAGGAAGAAACATTTGCAGGAGAAGCTGCTGCTGAGGGGTCCCCTCCTCACTGTCTCCAGGAGTTGGCCATGATCGAGGTGAGCCCCCAGCCCCCGGGTTGCATTGCAGCCCCCGTTTCCATCAGCCGGGAGCCTCCCCAGGCGCTCCGTGTGCGCAGCAGTGTTATGTTGCAAAAACCTGTTCCGCTCACTCCAAGTTTAGGAAGGGCTTATGTGCAGCAGCAATAGTTTGGGGTTTTTTTTAAACATGCAATTCTATTCCTGTTGTAACTTCCCAAGGCAGAGAGGCCAGCAGAGCAGAGGCACAGAGGGAGAGGTGGTTTGTTTTTTTTTTTTCCTCTTGCAAATTAAATATAGGCACAAGACAAGCCCCGTTTCTGCCCATACAAGGCGAGGAGTGGGTCAGCATCTGAAAGCTGTGCTCAGCACTTTTTCAGGAACCTGAGTTGCAAGCAAGCTTTTGTTTTTCCTTCTCACAGGCTTTCGGTCTGGTTATTTTCCCCCTTCATCGTTTCTCTGAATGCCAAAAGGCTGTTTCTAAAGCATTTTGTTTTCCTCCTATCAGTAGCTCATCCTGTTTATTACAAATACACCCTTCCAGCACCCACCAGCCTTTCCATAGGGTCAGCAACAGCAAAGAGAAGGAGCTTTCTACAAGCAGCAGCACAAAAGAGAGCAACAGTTTTACCTGCACCAACCTCAGGCCCTGGGGAGCGTGGCCTCACCCCAGGGCTTCCCCACTGCCCATGCACAATCCATCCCCATGGGCTGTCACAGCATGGGGGGGGCACCGAGCACAGTGGCATCACCCTACCCCCACAAGCCCCCCCCCCAGCCGTACCTGCCTGGCACCAGAGGCTGAGCCCCACGGAGAGAGGAGCACCGTGCTGGATGGGGAGAGGCTGTGGGGAGCTGAGCACCCACAGCAGGGGCTGTTTAAGCTTATCATGGAGCATTGCCCTCAGCTGTGGTGTGTGGTGGGCAGCAGGGAAGGGCCCAGGCTGAGCACGGGGCAGGGGCACGGCCACGGCAACGCTTTGGCCGAGAGATGGAGGGTACGTTTCTACAGGTGGTTATTTCTCCAAGGCCATGTGTTTTCCAGGAAACAGGATGTGTTTATGCAGGACACGGGGAGATCTGGAGCCTAAAATGCACACTGGGAACCTAGTCCGTGGGAAAAGCGGTCCTTGGGGATTTGCCTCCTGGGGCTCTATGAACTCAAACCCGCTTTGCCAGCGCTGTGGTCCCTGGCAACGGTTGGATCTGATCCTCCAGCCCAGCAGCTGCTGTGGAGCCGCTGCTCCCATCGACGGGGCCTCGCCAGGAGCCGACGGGAAATTTCTCTGGAGAAAAAGCACTTCTGGCCCCGCGCGCTCCCGACAGCTGCCCTGGCCCACGGGCACCGCCGGGGCATCCTGCCGCGCACGCTCGCACCGGGACCTGCTCAAAGATCAGCTGCTAAGGCCAGCCCCGGCTGTCCCTGCTCGGAGGAAATACTATTGTTTCTAGTTTCACATGGAAAGGGCAGTTTTTGGCCCCAGCTGCCGCCCACATGTTCCTTTCCCACTCGAAATAATTGCTCCTGCTGCAGCCAGCTCTGCTGAGTCCGTGCCCGCTCCCACCCCAATCCTCGTGAGCGGGGTCGGAGCCCGTGCGGGGTCCCTGCCCTCCCGGCACCCACTGCTCCCCCCTCCGCTCCTGCCTGCCACTGCCAGCGTCCCGCCTCGGGGACCACGCATGGTGACACAGGATCTGTTGTTTGCTTCATTTTTCCCTTTTCCAAAGGCACGATCCCTACTGGGGCACTTTGCACAGACAGCTGACCGGATGCCCGACATAGTTTTAAATGTATTTATGTTCCCTCTGTCTCTTAAGCATATCTTCAAAGGATGTTTTGCATCGAAATAGGATTTTTCCAGGCTGTTTGCAGTGACAAATTCGGTGTGACCTGGGCTTCAAACAGCCACTCGAGAATGGCAAGTAAATGTAGCTGGATCTCTAAGTTCTTAAGAGGAAAAAAATATTTAATAAATATTCTTTAAGAGGTATTCAAATAATAAAGAATATCGGCCAAGCCAGACATCCTACCTAATTTAGTCTCCAGAGCAGGATCTGCTAATAGATGAGGGTAGGATTTGTGAATTAACATTTCACTTCTCCAGGGACCTTTCCTGAAATTATAATGGCTTTTTCTCCTCTTTTTTTCATGAAACTGCCATGAAATAGTTCCCTGTTATTAACTATGAAACCCACCTAATTAGCACAATGACAGTCTTTAATGAGGCCCTGGCTGTGTTCAGCATCTTTGATGGGAATGGTTAATGCCAAACACAGGGCAGTAATTACAGAAACCCACTCCCCCACCACCTCGCCCTGTGGAAGCAGCAACGCAAACGGAGCTTGGCCGTTCGGATTTATTGGAAATCTCTGTCCAGGGCACGTGCTAAGCTCAGATGGGATCAAATGCACCGGAGTTAATTTGACACCAGTAACAGTCACTGGAACACCGGGGATTAATAACCTGGCAGGAGGGAGCTGCTGTTCACCGAGCGCTGGCTCTTTGCAGCCAAGGGCAGGAGGGTGGTGCCGGGTGCCAGCTCTGCCGGTGCCCGACGTCTCCTGCGAGATGCTGGAACTGTTACTGGTGCGTGGGTGGGCAGGGGCTGGGTTGGGGGAAGGGGTGGGTGCTCTCGGTGCTCGCAGGGTTCCCGTTCTGCGGGGGATGAGCAGCACAGCCCGGCCCCCTCCACAGCCCCCATCACCCAGCACCGTGTCTCCGCCACCGGAGCGGATCCGGCACCGCTGGAACTGGTGGGTGCTGGTCTGCCCCATCGGCTGCGTGTGCAGCGAGGATTCGGCACGTAACAGAGAGCTTCTCCAGGAGCCGCTCCCGACTCTGCCCCGCTGGGCCTCCCCTTCCCGGCCAGCGCCGGAGCGCCCGCCGCGCTCGGCCAGATGGCCTCCAGAAGGCTCACAAATTACAGTGCCTGTAATTAAAAAGCCTTTATTTTCAAAACCATTTCACAGCTTACTCTTCCGACAAGGCTGGCTGCTGCCCGCGTTCCCCTTTCCCAGTGCCACGCGTTCCATTGACTATTTCCGCGCCGAAGCTGAGCGACCCCCGTGCCCGGCAAACCCGCACGGTGCCGGAGCCTCCCCAGTGCCTCCCTGACGGCACCGCTCCGTCCCAGTTACCCATCCGTGCTGATGTGCCTGGCTAACCCGAAAGGCTTTCTGACTGGAGACTGCAAATTTAACAATTTCCCCTCAATTCCCCTCAAATTCCAGCAGGAAAGAAACAAATTGCCACATCCTGGCTGAACTAAGATCCATTTTATTCAGTGTCCAGCACCGTTTTATTTACTCCAGCACATTCCCAAGCACTTTCATCATATAATTAATCAGCAGCAGAATCTCTTTCACTTCTTTAAGCAGCATTTCTAAAAACTGGACCACACTTCCGTAGCGTCCCTGTCTCTGCAGAAAGAGGCTGTATTTGATTTCTCTTTCCTTTTGTTCAAGTTCATTTGTACCCACGTGGCATTTCTAAGCAAGAAATCATACCCCCTTCCAGCTGGCAGGCAGCCTCCTGGGCTGCTTTGAAAGCATAAATAAAAACCAGTTTTCTGCACCACTTCGCCTTGGCCGAGGCCGGGCTGCGGGGCGGTTCGGGGAGCACCGGCACCCCCGCGGCTCAGCACCCCCTGACTCGCTCAGCACCCTCGCCTGCCTGGGGGAGTTTGGTCCTGGCAGGGCACTCGCCCTCTCCAGCGACTTCTCCTCTGCGTGTGTTTCAGGAGTGTTTCCTGCAATAGGGGTAACTGAGCAAAGCCTCTGGGCTGGCTCAGATTTCTTGGCTC